GGCGCGTAAGAGCTAATGACATTCAGAGTGCTCCCTCCAACTACTAACTTAATCGCCATCAATCTGTCATTCACCCGCCTAATCTCTACCACTAACTCTCTAAGCTTCATATCCACCAAAATACCCACTCCGTTTTTGCCCTTCACACCTCTAGAGTACCACAATTTAAACCCGTTTGCATTCCTCTCCTTTGATCCTACCCCCCTAGTCTCCTACACACACGCTATATTGACCTTCCTCTTCTGATGAATCTTCTCCAGCTCTATAGACTTACCTGTCAATGTCCCTATATTCCACAATCCAATTCTCAACCTACAAGTGCCCTTGTTCCCCTGACCCCCTTTGGTTCCCGTCCCACCCTCTTACTCTTGCCCTACGCCCCTCCCCACCGCCCTCCCTTCCCGAGGACATGACCCTACTCTGCCATTACAAACCATAGCCGCTATACCTATAGAAGTCTAGGAAAAAAATGCCAACACAGAAGAACAAAGGGAACACACAAACAAGAGACTCGACGGGAATAAATAGTAACTACAGGCCCACTACTAGACTGAATAGACTAGTACGAATTACTACGGCAACAAATTAACTAACACATGAGACAGAGAAATGGGAGGCGGGAGGTACCAATTCCCACGAATAGAACCTGGACTTTCGACTTGGTATACTCCCGATGCTGTGGAACCCGACATATAGCAACTGCTCTGCTGCTTCTACGTATGCACCTCCCTACCGTCAGCAAGCAGTCACAAAATTGATACCTGCAAAACACACAAATACCACGAAACCAAGAAAACTATAGGAGGACCGATTGTCACCGTCACCAGCGGTAGAGAAACACGAATCTGGTGATGAACCACTTGAAGTCGCCAGACCAATCTGGTGTCACCAGAGAACAGCGGCGGCGCGAAGAAACAGCGGCAGAGAAAGGTATATAGAAGAAGGAGCACCAAAAAAGAGGGGTTGGGAGTTGGGACTACACCCGGAACTACAGAGAAGAAGAAAGAAGGAGCGGCGCCAACGATGGGACGGTCGCCGAAAAAAATTTATCGCTAGTGGTTAAGAAAGGGGAGAAGAGAAAAGGGGGGAGAAAGAAAAACGGGCTGAGAGAGAGAATAGGGAGAGAGGAGAGAGAGGGAGCAGGGGGTGGTGCTTACCTGGCCTGCTCGTCAACGTTGGTGCCGGCGCTGGAGGGATTCGCCGGTGGAAATGACCGTTAAGTTTGAGTGCCGGGGAGAGAGAGAAGCGCGTGGTAGTAAACTAAAATTATCGTTCAATCTTTTGACCATGTAATTTTCAATAAATTCAAAATCATTGATGCACCTAATGACATAATTATAAACATAATATCTTCATGTCACTACGTAGCAGAGTATTTGTTAAGGTTTATTATAAGTCTATATTGGCAGCTGCAGCCCTACTATTCAACAGCAGCAAGGTGCCAAAAAACTTTTTTAGTTTTTTTGTTAGTCTTGATATCCAAGACTACTTATCTCGTATTAGAATGTATAAGCATGAAACTTTGCAATTCATCAAAACTTTAAATAACAAGATACTCCAAATAAGAAATTAGAAAACATCAAACATAATAATCCATGCTTCGGATCTGCAAATATTTTTTCTCTTAAACCATCAGGTCACTTTTGCTTAATTGTGTTAAAAACTCTTTATATTGACAATGTATATAACAAAAGGTTGTAAATTGAAGTAAAATTAGAGTACTAAATGAAGTCTACATGTCCTCGGTAATAAGTTGTGATCCAATGTGGACGAGGGGAGACATTATAGTTGCTCTTGCAGTCCTCTATGAACTTATCCAAATTAAAAGGATCTTAACAGAACATGATATCATTTCTGCCTTGCCCTATAGGTATCACCATCTCACTGCATGTCTAAAAAACAAAACTAGCTATTAATTTCTAAGATTATAAATTTTATATGTGTGTGTGTCAAATATATTAGGTTAAAAAAAGTAGGCTCCACTCCCACTTCCAGCTCCACCGATCCACCGTGCGGTAGGATTTTAACACGTGCTTTTGAACCTATCCATCGCACGTTGTGCTCTTACCACTAAACTAATGCAAGGACGTCCAAATATAGGTCCTTGTATAAAGATCAATTGCGCGAATGGTAAAGTCTTTTTTAAACATTCCATACAACATGAATAGACAACAATAATGAATCGCTCATAAATGGTCATGCAAGCGAGAAATAAATTTGAGAATTAACAAGAGAATCTATCTCAATAAAGATGATATTGCCGTGGACGTCAATTAATTAACACTACTAGAAATTCGGTAAAAAGCGACCACAAAAAGCGACCAAAGTTGGTCGCTTATAGGCCTAAAAGCGACCAAAAAGCGACCAAACATGCCTGGTCGCAATATTGCTGGTCCCTTTATTTTAGGGACCAAAGTTGGTCGCTAATTAGCGATCAACTTTGGTCTCTAAGGTAAAAGGACCAAATATTCCGGGTAAAGACTATAGTGACCAACTTTGGTCGCTTTATTATTTTAATAATATAATTTTGGCGACCAAAGTTGGTCTCTAAATGTAAAATACGTTATTTATTTATTTATTATTAATCATAAAAAAGCGACCAACTTTGGTCTCTAATCCAAATATTATATTTTAAAATCTAGAAAATAGAGACCAAGATTGGTCGCTTTTTTATTTATTTTTTTTAAAAAAAAAAAAATAAGCGACCATAGTTGGTCGCTAACTTCAAGAAATATTTTTTTTTAATTATAAGCGACCAACTTTGGTCGCTATATTTCCAGAAATTATTTTTTTAAAATAGAATAGCGACCCAAGGTTGGTCGCTATTGCCCAGAAAATTGTTTTTTTAAGGGAAAAGCGACCAAATAGCGACCAAAGTTGGTCGCTTTTCTTGGTATATTTTTGCCAGAAAATGCCTGTTTTGGCAGCTACACCACCTG